GATTGGTATTCCTTATTGGTAGCAAAAGAAAAAAAAGGAAGACAAGTAGAAATATCGTTTTTCATCTCACCAAATGCAGAGAAATGTTGGGGTAAACTCAGGTAGGAAGCAGAATGGGCTTGTATTACCAAAAACTTGTCTGTTTTCTGTCAATCAGTAAACAAAACTAAAAGAAAACTTTCTCCCTAGAGCAATCTCCTGTGAACAACCTTTACAGCACCCTGCAATGACTTCTTTTTACTCACAGAGAAATAATTCCCTTCCTGTCCTTTGAAACTTTCAACAAAACCAAGTCAGATCATAAAATGATACTGTAGAAGAGTCACAGCATGATGGCAAAAAAAAAAACATTAATGCATATTCTTACATTTAATTCAATGGAACTGACAGAGAGACATGCCTTGGTATCAACCTACTTTCAAGTTGCTTTCTAACATAACTGATTACTCAAGAAACATTTCTAGAATATACAAAAATACTTTTGATGAAGTGAAGCAGGCAGCTTCCTACACTGTACCCTCCATGTTCCAAACACACAGAACTGTCTTAATTAAATTATTTTGATGGCATTTTTATTTGCTAGCATTAGATCATAAATCACACTCCATCATCAATAACTACATCAAATCAACATAATACCAAAATATCCAAGTGCTTATGAGAAGTTCAAAATTAATGTAACTGGAAAGTTGGGCAATTTTATCTGCTGAACAGATGGTAACACTTTAATTCCCCTGCTTTCTCAGCCAGTCTGCTACAAGCCTCAACCAGCAGTATCATCCAAATGCTGCTGAAGTCAATGGGAAGGCTGACACTGACTTGAGTGAACTTCAGCTGAGCTCAGAAATGCTGCAAGAAGAAAAATTCATCCTCATAGATCTCCCAGACAGTTGACAATGATGGCTGAGAACAGTTATGTTGATCTTGTTACGTTAACATCCATCCAACAAGAACTAAAACAAGATACATTTTTTTGCTCTTTCCCATGAAACACCCACAGGCAAAAGCTCTTTGTCAGTACTTCCTTTGGGTGGTATTTGAAGCACGGACTGAAAAGGCAAAAACCAAGTATTTTTTCATCTGTCCTACTCTTTATTTCATTCTCTTGTAAGTTAAGAATCCACACTAGAGAACTGCTTTCCACCAACGGTAAGTGAAGACCCTGCCCTTGTAATTTCCTGCTTCTGATCGAGCACTTCAAACTCCTAACCCGTACCTAAAATATTTTTCAGCTACTAAATATGCTCACCATACTTTGTGAAAGTCCTACAATTAATATGCAACATTTTTAAACGTCTTTCAGTAAAGTTTCTATCCATTACATTCAAATCCTTGTGAAATGTAAGACAGTGTCCTTGCTCACTGTATTTGTCAGGTACCCACAGCTACAAGTTTAGAAGAATATTTCATGTTTATAAGTTGAAATGTGACCAACATGTATTTTTGTTATTTAAAAACTAAATTCACAGGCATTTGTCTTGAAAAGATTTTGCATATGGTAATTTGAATGCAACTTTGAAAAACCTTTTACATGGCATATGAAACAATTGTTTCCAGAAATTTCCACAGCATATTAAGGTACTCATTTAAGAAGAAAATGCAGCCTGAAAAATAGGGTTGCACACAGCACAAAAGATCAAATTATATTGCAAAATTATACTGGCATTCACTGAAGGTTACAAGCATCATTTTACACATTAGAGGTCAAAGTGAAGGCACTGCAGCAAACACACTCTTTTCTAACACATCTGAGGATAACTTCTGCTGTAAAGTATTAGTAGCTTAGAACTAATGTAACAATGTTGTTAGAAATGTTCACAGTTTACTCTGTTCCCGAGTTCTCTATCCAGCCTTTCTAATATGAAAATAAAATACGACTGCAACTTTCTGAATAGATTTGTCTACTTAAAAAAGCTGTACAACTGCATGGAAGTACTTTAATTGTTAGAACTCCAATTTTTACTGAAGTAACTGCTTAGTGCTTATTGAAGTACATTTTAACTGCTTCACCAAACTAATCATTTGCTGATAAGAAAACATCTCATTAAAAAAAATATAAAAAGAAAAAAGTCCATACAACTATCACTACAGAGCAAAATAATCTAAACCTGTGGAGTTTAGCACCATGATCAGGATACGTTGCTCACAGATGATTACTTTGTAAAACACTTTAAAAGATGTTCCATAATCTTAACTGGACTATGTATTATAAACAAATAATTATTTAGCATACAAAATTCCCAGCTCCAGTGTTCAATCACAGAATAATGAACACTACTATGTAGTCAGCTGATTTTTTTTCTGTGGAAGAAGTAAGAATCTCTCTCCTGGGCTAAGCCTAGGCAAGAAATAGAGAGAGGGGAAGGGCTATACTTTTCCTCATTTGCTACTATTTCCTCTATAATGCTACTATAAATGTCAGGAAATGCAAGAATATCTGCTCTTGTTGATAATATCATCTTATAAAAACACATTCCCACAGGAAGTCTTCAAAGCCTTATGAATTATATGGGCAGAAACACAAATCCAAATCTTTTATCTTAACTGTAACTTTAAAACTTCCAATTTCTTAAACAAGTTTGTAAGTATGTTATAATATAAATAGTTCACCATTTGGAGATTATTACTATATAGAAAAGCATAGACAGAAGTTGATCAAAAAAAGTGGAAAAGAATGAAACTGGATGTAAAAGCATCCTATGAAATTGGAAAGGTCACAAACTTCTACTTATGCACCAGCTTTCAGGAAGACTTAATGAAACACTTAATAGAAACAAATTAATAAAAACCCTGTTTCTATAATTACATGGCTTTTAAGGCAGTTTTCAGCACATATTATAGAGGTTTTATAATGCACCTGTGCTCAATTTTCAATTAAAGAAGATGGTACTGTGCATAAGAATCCAAATTCGTACCATCTACCTATAACCACAAATAACCCCAAACCTTAGATACCCGGTAAAATTACAGTTGCAACTCTGGGCACTGTTATGGCTAGAAATTGTTATCTCAAATTGAACAGAATCTACTGTAATAAATAGTTTGAACTCAAGATTAATGAGATCTGAAACACTGGTCAATAAAAGAAATACAAGAACTGAGGGAAGAGACAGCTAAATCTGTTTCACTTCCAGCAATGCAAACATTTTTCCGCATATTGTCACACACAATAAATCTTTTCCCATCTTTCACAGAGGTCCATGAGACATAAGTTAAGAAGTATAAAGGCTCAACTTGTTTACCTGCTATTGAAGTATCTCCGAATTATACCTTCCAGACCAGTGGATTCCCTATGTAAAATCAAGCCTGCTCTTTCCCCATTCCCTTCCGCACAGGGAAAGCCTTAACTGTGAGGCAGACACCCCTGCTGACGCAGGAACCCAGGGAAGCTACAGGGAAGTGACAAACACACAAACATTGTTTTGTAGCTACAACATGCTGAAAAAGATTTCTGACCCAGCTTACGTTAGAGAGAATCAAAATCTACTTTGAAAGCACGATGTACAGCCTATTGCATTATTAAAAGTAAAAATTACAGCTACTACTTTCAATATTTTTATGTATGCCTTCTCCACAGCAGATTAGGAGAAACAGTCTATATCTATAGCAACCAGGAGAGAGGAGGGAGGGATATATCCAGTCCACACCGTTTCTCCTTAAGGCCTTTCATCACTACCCTCACTATAGCAAACATTTAATAGCTCATTTGTATTGCCACTTGACTGAAGCCTCAGTAAAACCATGGTCAGCTTAATAAACAAAATATACATGAGGAAGACTGCACTGGTACTTCTGTGGGAGACTTCCTTTGTTTCTTTATTTTATATTTTATCTTAGAATAAGATTACTTAGGGAGAGCTAGTTTAGCTTTCACTCCCTGATGTCCATAACCATTCTAGATAGAAATTAAAATGGGAAAAAATACAAAATACTCCCAGTTATGATCTGGGCTTAAAGTGCATTTTGGAAAGATACTGCAAGTGAAATGAAACTGACTGTATTAGTAGATATCACTGGAGATAATTCTGGTGAGCAAACAGACGTGTGTCTCAGTGCAAGGAAAGGAACGCCAGAGAGACAGGCAGAGAATAGCATTGATCTTAAACACAGAGTTTGTTTCAGGATCCCTTCATGTTGCCGTGGGCCATTTTAGCAGGTGGGGATGTTCAGTGCAGATGGCACCTCCTAAAGGAGGAAGGGGTTGGTCCGAGAATATCTCAACAGAAAGAAGCTGCTTAGTGGTCTTTACTGGACAGCACCAGGGATCTGTAGACACCTCTGAAACAGGCTCAACCTGAAGCCAGTGCTGACTTCTACCTCCAGCAGAACGAGTTACGGGTGGACACCAGCAAAGAAGGCTGGGCTGCTTCTGGGGATTTATGGCCTGGGGATTTCCTGTGTTTGGAACTATTAAGGGAGCTTTCGTGGGCTGAATCCACTAAACTGGGAGGAGGGTCAAATACGTAAGGCTGGATGCATTTTTGGTGGCTTGGCAGCGGTGCACCTCGACTTTAAGGTCCTCGTGATTGTCTCGGTGGAAGTTTTCAGTATGTGAGGACACTGGCTGAGACCAGCTCCTCAGAGGTGTCCCAGAGATCCCGCCGGGACACCCCGCTGGGGCTGCTGGATACGGGACCAGCCTTGGGCTGACCAGGGATCGGCGGGGATAGGAGTGACCCACGAGGTGTGAGGGGCCGGGAGCCGGTAGCGAAGGGCCGGAGGACAGGGACCCTCAAGCGGGAGCCGCGCCATAAGGAGACGGAGGACGGGGCCCCTCAGCGGGATCTGTTTGTCACGGACCGGAGAACGGGGTCCCTTACAGAGAGCCGGTCGTGAAGGACCGCAGGACGGGCCCCTCGCCCGCAGCTGTGCGGGCGCGGCCACCGGGGGCCTGTCGAGCTGCCTCTGAGGAAGCTCTCGGGCAGCAGCGGAGAGAGGGAGGGGTCGGCGCGGCCCCGCTCCCCGTCAGCCCCACGCCTCCCGCCCCTCGCCCCACTCACCGATCCGCGCCTCGGCGGCGGCTCCGGCGGAGGGCAGTTGAGTGAGCGGGGCGGCGGCGAGGACCTGCAGCAGCGACGGCAGCAGCAGCGGGAGGACGGAGCCGAGCGCCCCCATCATGCCTGGCCCATCGCAGGCAGCTGTCCCGCTCCCCTGCCCGCCGCCGCCAGCCCTCACTCCATGCCGCCCGCCCGCCCTTTGCCGTCCGCAGCCCGCAGCCGCTCCCTGGCTCCGGCGAGCAGCAGCCGCAGCAGATTCAACACCCAGGACAGCGACCAGCGCCGCCCGCCCGCCCCCTAGCCGGTCCCGCCCCGCCCCGGCCCGGCCCGGCCCGCCCGGCAGGCGCGGAGGGGGGGGCAACGAGCTCACCCTCCGCGGCACCGCCTCCCCGCACCGCGGTTCCCGCCCGCCCGGCCGCAGCGGGGGGCTCTGCCCTCCCTATCGGGATCGCGGGTTAGCGACCCCCTCCCTCCGGCAGAGCGAGGGCAGGGGACGGCCGCGGCCCCGAAAGCTGCGGCCGGCCCTGAAGGAAGCTCCGCCTCAGGCGGCCGTGAGCCTCCGGGCAGTGCCGTGCGCCGCCGGGCGAGGGGCGGCGGGGGTCGCTCCCGCCTGAAAAGCTGTGCGCTTGAATACCGCATAAAGATGGCTGAGAGTGCGGGGGGAGTTATTAAATGTGCCTGTTCCGCACACCTGTATGCAAAACCAACCCCTGTCAAAGTTTTACCCAGCGCTAGCTGGATGGATTCTCCCTACGGCCTCCTCAGAGTGCCTTGTTTACCACCGGTATTCCCACAGAAAATTACTCGCCATCGTGAAGGGTTTTCTGAGCCCTCAGGTAAACACCTCCCACAGCTGAGGTGTGTGCGCTTGCCCGGGAGATGTTCGCATGGGTGACATTTGTCCTCTACCTCCTGTCCCAGATTCACTCTGCATCAGTGTGAGTGCTCGGCCTGGGCTGCCAGGAAGGAGCAGAAGTCTGGCACGAACCCATTGACTCCTTCCGTGTTCACAGGCTCCCATCTTTTCACAAGCTCGGTGTAATAATATTTAGCCTTTAAGGCAGCAGCCACAGTCACTGAGGTGAAACAGTGCAGCTGCCATGCCTCCTGTCAGGGGATGCCTTTTTGACTGGGACAGCCAGCAGTGTGCCACGTTGACTGCTGGCTGCTCTGAGCTCCCCTCATCACCCCAGCATCTGCTTTGTTCCTTCGTGAAGTTTCAGATTCTCCCAGTCTTCTTCATACTTGAAGTAAACAGTTCTAACTACACTCCCTGATGGGCTTCATCCCTGGCTTTAACCAGATACAGTCACGACAGACTCACACTCAGGGTTTTTAAAAGTGTCATGGTTTGACCGAAACCAGGACAAAGGAGTAAAAACATGAAGTGGCTTTGCCATGGACCAGGAAACTAAAAAGCCCATGGGACAAACTAGCCATGGAATCATAGAATCAGAGATTGGTTTGTGTTGGAAGAGAGCATAAAGATCACGTGGTTCCAAACCCCTGCCATGGGCAGGGACACTTTCTACTAGACCAGGTTGCTCCAAGCCCCCTCCAACCTGGCCTTGAGCACCCCCAGGGATGGGGTAGCCACAGCTTCTCTGGGCATCACAGCTGTTCTTCCTTGCTTACCTCAAAAGTGGCAGAGAAGACAACACCAACACATCCACAACAGGAAGGACACAGAGAGATGAGCCACCACACTGGGAGCAGCTGGTACCTTTCATGGAGTGATGAGCCAGGTTTGGGGGCCCAGGTTAGAGCTTTGCCCTGGGCTCCAGGCAGAGGACCTGGGTGTGAGCTCACGGGGAGGCACATGGGACACTTATGGCTCACTTATGCCCTAACAGAGAGTTGCAGACTTCTCTTACTGTCTGAGTTTTGCTCTGTGGGAAAAGTGAACCTTTGCGCTAGAGAAAAGGAGACATGGCTTCTAGAACTGGTGCAAAGTCAATTCTTTGTAGTTAAGGCTGGTGACTTATATGGAAAAAAGGGCAATATTTGATTCAGAAAACAGCAATTTCAATCAAATATATTGCTACTGGATACTGTTCACTGTCCCAGGGTTTGCAAAAGCATTGGATGGTCTTTGCAAGCATTTCTGCCCTTGAGGTCCGTTAAATGGTTACATGCATCTTGCAGGGGAGTGGTTTCATTAGGAGTGGTTTCACTAACCCAAAATGTCCCATTACCTCAGGAAAATCAATTTTGACAGCTCTGAGAGAAATCTGAGAACTGAAAGGGGAGAAATGAAAAAGGAGGGAAAAGCATCCTATGGAAAGGACAAGATGAGAAATGAAAGTGCTGAAACATAAATTAGTATATTCTCATGGGTTATGCAAACCATCTGGCTTTAAAAGCTAGTAGTAGGAAGAAGGAAAAAGGTCATCTGAATTAGCAGAAAACTGCAGAACAACTGAAGGTAAGAAAGGAGCAAATGGCAGGCACAGCGAGAGAACAGGTTGTTCGTCAAAATAGCAGTGATATTACTGGAAGTCATTGCAGCTCTGCAATGAATGATTTGCATAGCTCTTGTGAATTTATGATCAAACACTATGCAGATTTTAAAGGGAAATTAGAATTTTCATAGGCATTCTGTGCAGAGGATTAGAAAAATAATGACATTTGTTCAAATGTTTGTGAAGCAATGTGAAAAATCAAGAGAGAAAGGGCTTCATCGAAGGCAGGAAGAAATCCTTGAGTACACAAGGTTAGTAAAGACAGGAGTAAGGTGTTAAGGAAAGAGTAGAGAGTCAATTGGTAGGTGAATTGGGTATTTGGAAACAACTCAAGTAGGAATTCTCAGGACTGGAAAGTGAAAAGCATTTTCCACCTGGTTGTATTGTACAGTTTTATGGTAGGCCGTAGCTAGCAAAGATAGACAGATCTGTCTTAAAGCCCCAGGGACAGATTGAAATATGTGGTATTAGGTATAATGAATTTTGTTAATGACATGTAAAAACTGAGACTGGAGTCTGTGTGTAAATTAGATGAATAACAGTAAGACAGTGTAAATAACATGTTATGACACATGCAGGTTACTTTGCTGGTTCACAGTCATTTTCTCAAGACATTTCTCAGTGCCAAGGTTTTAAATAGTTGCATAATAAATTAAGCATCCACGTTTAGGTCTACCAACCTTGTGAAGCTGTTTGGTTAGGAGTTTTATTATCATGTTTTCAATAAGTTTCTGAACCATAGAAAAAGAAATCCTAAAGGGTGTAAGTAATTTGTGAAAATTACTAGAAAGACTGCAAAAATTATTCTTGAAGTCAGGGATGTTGTGGGGCTCAAACAAAACCATAGGACTTGGCGATTTTGAAAAAGGAATAGAAGAGGGTATCAGTAATTATTTCTGTGAGGGAATATTTAAATCATTTTGGTAAGGGATTCTAAACTAGTAAAGATACTGAAGGGTGGCTGAGAGGATAAAGTATCAGCTTGCAATTACTATTGTGTGTGAAGGTGAATGTGAGGGTATATGAATGACACTGGAAATGATAGATCTGAAAATTTCAGCACATGTTGAAGTTTAGCATGTCATTAGTTGCTGGAGCTGAGGCTTTTTATGATACCCTTATAGGTGTGAAAAACACACCAGGAAAAGTGAAAGAAGAGCTGGATAACCTATATGATTTTATACCCATGAAAGATTTATATCCTTATCCATGGTAACCACAGTTGAACAGTTTGTCAAGGACACACTTTCTGTTCGAAAATGCTGTGTTGCCTGACTAAGGTTTTTCATGGGAAACGTATATGTTTTCATCAAAAATCCACCAGTAAAGCCAGAAGTTCCAGAAAGGGCTAGAAATGATCCCAGAATGGCTAATTGCCCATCAGCCAGGACAGCTGCAGGGCCTAATATTTTAAAGACTCAAATTTCTGCTCTAGTTGATTCAAAGACATGATCTAACTATTGGACAATAAGGTCAGCCTTTCTCAATTTCACTGGGCCATTCAAGGTTATATTAAAAGCAAACATCCCTGCTAGAAACGACATTAGTTGGCAGAAGTAGTTTAGCATGGAAGGAGCAAGAAGATGAGTATAGGATTTATTTTGTTGAATACTATTTAGAATGACATAGTGGGAATAATGAATTAATAAGCTGGGAATTGAGATAATGATAGAATTTTTAGAGGTGTAAGAAGAAAAGGTGTCAAAATTACACGAATCAGAAATTGGGTAAAACACAGGATTCAGTTAAAGTAGAACATCACCAGGGAATAATTTAAACACAAAAATAAACAAGGAAAAATACTCTTAAATGCTTATAAGTAATTAAGTGATATGAGTTAAATGATATAAACAGGATTAAAATAACACGTGATAGTTGAAGGTGAAGTCTAAGGACTATAAAACACAAAAGCAGCAAGAGAGTTTTACTCTGTACCTAGTTCCCAAAGCTATGTTTATAAGCGTCTGCAGGTCTGTTTTTTAATTTCAAATGGGAATTACATACACAAGCATGGGCACACCTGCATGACTGTAGAAATTGTATATGTATATTTGTACAGGATAGAACTGCACTTTTTGTCTAAGGATCACAGAGCTGTTTGTCAGTTTATCCAAGTATAAAGAAGAGCCTGAACAAAAGGTCAGTCCCAGCTATGCTAAATACAGACTACCTGCATAGGCAAACACACCCTTTCAAAAAAAAAAAAAAAAAGGCATTAAAATTGCCTTCTTCATTTTCTTTCTTCCTCTCATCCTCCTGTCCCCCATCCCCATATCAAGGCTTCTGAGCACATTAACTGCAGATCATTTGTCCTGTTAATGGGTCCAAAATCCATAGGGAACAATATCTATCAGGCAGTTCAAGATTCTGTAACCTAGATATCTTGGCAGGGCTTTAAGCTGTATTGGGGGTGGAGGGGTGGGGGGACAGGGGTGAAAGAGAAAAAGAAAGGTTTGTGCTATATCCATGCCCAGACAAGACAGAATTTAGATTATTTAATTATTTACATTTTCTGGCTCTAGAGGACATAGGTAAAATATTCAAAGCCTTCACATATATATACAGACACAATGGGAGTCTTTTTGAGGCTCAAGGCTGCACATACAACCTCTGCCATGTTTTCTGAGGGCAGAAAGAGCCAGTTGAGAAGCAGTAATCCTCCTGTACCTTGCTTGTGATTTGAAGACTTCTTTCAGAAGACTGTGAAACTTAAGGCTAGAAAAACCATCTCTAGAGCCACACCTTGGTGTAGCATGGTTACAAGAGGAGCAATACCACTTGCCACTTTGAATGTTGTTGGTGTGACCCATCAACTCTGTTTGAGGAGGCTGACAAGCACTT